GCATACGCACACTCACACACACACACACACACACGCACACACATACGCACACGCATACGCACACTCACACACACACACACACACACAGCAGGACATCTGGAAAAAGTCCTGATTTATTAAATATCAGTAATTCTTTATATATTTTTCCACGGTCCTGTTTCTCCAGAGTTTCTGACGTTTCCTTCAAACTTTTGCTGCTTTTTAACTCTTGGAAACGTTGCAATAATAATATCATTTAATATTATTTGATAAACTCCTAAAGCTTGAATTGAAAATGTAAAAAATGAGATCAGGAACATTAACTCGGTGTTTAGGAGTTTTAAGCTTAAAATTTTAATCAGAAGTTTAAAATGAAATCAGATGTTTTATTTAAATCAACACATCTAAATCAATCAGCATGGATCTTCCTTCTGGCCTATTTAAAGTAATGTTTCTGTATTTCCTCTCAGAGTAAATACAAGGAGGGCGGCAGGAAGAGCGTCTCTCAGAGTTTCTACTCTCAGCTGCCAGAAACAGCAGAAACTCAGTTTGCTAAACGTGTTTCTGATCTGCAGAGTCAGGTGAGAAAACATGGCAACCTGCAGCTGTTCTGGGAAACGCTGCAGACTGAAACCGTTTGATTTCAGACCAGATATAAGGAATCGGGGAGGAAAGGCGTGAGCTGCAGTCTGTACTCTCTGCTGCCGGAGACGATAGAAACGGTTCGAGCCAAAGAGGATTCTGAGCTCTGCAGCGAGGTAAAACACCGCCAGCTTCACACCGAACCAGGAACCAGAGAGATTCTCCACAAACATCAGACATGTGTTACTGTAGCTCGTTGTTCATATCAGAACCTTCTGGACCTTTACGTTCTGCTCTCTGGGTTCCAGCTGAAGTATAAAGAAGAAGGCAGGAAGGATGCGAGCGTCAGCCTGTACGCCGTTCTGCCGGAAACCATGGAAACGCAGCACGCGAAGGAGGCGTCCAGCCTGCAGAGCCAGGTCCGCCGCCGAGCGTCGGCCTGGAAACACCACGATGTCACATTTTATACGTTTTACACTGAATTTATAATAACCTGATAACATCTGGTACTTTGAGTTATTTATGGGATTCCTCAAGGCTTTGACTGGGCCAGTTCTAGTTTCCTTCAAACATATTTTCCAACTGTGCTGATTTTTAAAGTAAACATGTTTTAGAGATTTTCTGTTTTAAAGTTAAATATATGATAACATGGATGGACGTTAAAACATGAATGTCACTTCATTCAAACCCAGACGATCAGAGTGAGAGCAGAGAGCTGACATCTTCTGTTTCTGAATGAAAAATGTATTTTATGTCTCTGTTGTTTAACGTATATCATCATTTCCTGCAGGTGAAATATAAGGAAGGTGTGAAGGAGAAGATTCAGCGCAGTTTGTACCATCAGATGCCTGAAACTACGGAAACTCAGATGGCCAAACATCTGTCAGAGCTGCAGAGCGACGTACGAATAAAAACCTTTATGGATAACAGAAAGTTTTACATTCGGTTCTGCAGAAATACACAGAATGCTTGAATAACAAACAAGATAATAATGAGCAGATAAAATAAAAACAGGCTGGATGATCTCTGTAAATGAGCTAAACGTATTTCTGTTGTTCAGACTAAATACAGAGAAGCAGGAAAGAAGCAGATCAGCAGCTGCCTTTACTCTCTGCTGCCTGTGACTCTGGAGACGCAACACGCTAAAGAGACGACAGAGCAGCTGAGCCAGGTGGGAGTAATCAGATTACTCTGATCACTCAGAGTAACCACAGTAACACGTTTGTTTCCTGTGAAATCTGAGCAGCTGAAGTACCAGGAGAGCAGCAGGAAGGAAATGTCCAGCAGCCATTATGCCACCATGCCGGAGACGTCAGAGACCAGCTTCGCCAGAGAAATGAGCGACCTGCAGAGTGAGGTAAGCAGCGTCATGTGACCCATCAGACCCAATCAGATCCTCCATGTCGGCCTGAAACTCTTCCTCAACAGGAAGGCGTTTAACCTTTAACCTTCCTGTTAGACTCTTCATCTCTTCAGCTCACATTTGGTTTAGTGTTAGAAATGGATTTTCAGAGAAAATCAGTAAATGTTCTGTGGAATGATGACTGTGTGCATCATCATTCTTCTGAGTGCTGTAGCTAATGTTTCATATGCTAATAATGTTAGCATCACCAGCCTGACCTCCTTCTGAATAAATTACATTCCTGCTTTACTTAGATTTCAGAACAGCTCAGTTCTTAACATGCAGTCAAAACCAAACAGTTTCTCACATTTTCATCGTTATCAGTTGAACATGTGATTCTGTTCTTCCTCTGTTTTTCCTCTGCGCTCTAAAAGATTTCAGGAACACATTTCTGTCATTTCCAATCTTTTCCACTTTCCATATAAAAACAGGCGACAGTGAAATATTTAGTGGTGATGAATTTTCCTGATTGGACTCATAATGAAAACTTGATGCAGGAATTCACTGACATCCTGATGATTAGGAGGAATCTGTACAGACACAGCATTGATTTCATGATCCAATTATCCAATAATTTTAATACTCCTGGCAGTAAGGTGAATCTCAGAAACATTTTCCATAATTAGGATTAGTATTAAATTCTTACAGTAAAAGTTAGAGGCCAGGCAAACATAAAACACAAATATTTCATTTTAAGAGACTTTTCCTAAACTGTTTTCTGAAGAAATCCTGGCTGCGCATTAACTCCAGATATCAGAGAAATCAACACTAGAGATTATCAGAGAGCAAATCCATCAGTTGCTTCTGTTCATCAGTGGTAATAATCTCATCAGCTCTTTTCTCACACCTATTTATTTTATGTTGTGTTGAAAACTGAGGCTCTCGGCGTAACATCCTGCAGCGCTGCAGCCTTTCTGACGTCTCTGTGAATCATCGGGTCTAATTAGCATCACAAAGACGATCAAAGCTTTTTAATGCTGATGAGGCGATACGGCGAGTTAACGAGGTTCTGCTCAGCATCGGCCCGATCCGCCGGAAAATGTTCTGGAAGGACAGAGGAACAGACACACGTTTATGTTCATTATGATAATCTGGATTATTAATCTCCTGTTTCATGTTGAAGGTTAAATATAAGGAGGACGGGATGAAGAGCGTCTCTCAAAGCCTCTACAGTCGGCTGCCAGAAACGGCCCAGATGAAGTTTGTTAAAGACGTTTCTGAGCTGCAGAGCGAGGTGAGCAGAACCAACCGGGTCAGGCTGCAGAACCAACCGGGTCAGGCTGCAGAACCAACCGGGTCGGGCTGCAGAACCAATCGGGTCGGGCTGCAGAACCAGGACAGAATCTGAGACATTCAGCCAAAACATGATTTAATTCATTTCCACAACACGGATCTGATGATTTCACAGGTTTTACTAGAAAATGTCCTGAAAGCCGATGGAAATCTGGACGTTTTATTTAAAAATTATTTACACATAAAAATGTTGGTATTATATAAATACAGACAAGATTCCCATAAAGGTGTGAATATTTTGACTCTTATATTAAAATCAAAGGTTCATAGCAGATCGTCTATATATATTATTAAAGTGAATGAAGGTTTAAAGCTCCTTTTGAATGTTTTGTTTTTTAATTTATTGAGTTTTGGTCTTTGACTCTTTGCTGTTGTGGCTGTAGATGAAATATAAGCAGGACAGGAAGGAAGCGAGTCGCTCGCTGTTTTCCACGCTGCCTGAGACTCTGGAGACGATTCAGGCCAAGGAGGTTTCTGATCTGATCAATGAGGTAACGAACGATTCTACTGAAACGTCTCAGGACAAGTTCACTCGTTTCATTTATTGTCATAAATCACTAGAACCCAAACAGTAAAATGTTTTTCTACAAATCACCATCTACTGCACATGTATAAGATCCATAAAACTAGATTCTAACTGTAGTTTAAACAGTGGGCTGAGTACTGAGCCCTGTGGGACACCGTAGTTAATTTAACTGACGTTTTTGTTATGTTTGTTTTTCCCTCCAGAGGAAATACAGAGACTCTGTGAGGAAAGATCTGAGCTGCAGCCTTTTCCACCAGCTGCCAGAGACGCTGGAGACGCTCCATGCCAAGGAAGTCTCCGACCTGCTGAGCGAGGTTTCAGCAGGAATGACTCACTGAAACCTGAATCTGTGTTTTCCTTTCTGCAGGATGAAGATGTGAATCTCATCATCCTTTAATTTCATTGTTTTTCAGGTTAAATATAAAGAAGACGGTAAGAAGGAGATGAATGTGAATCTTTACTCTGCGATGCCTGAAACCATCGACACGCAACACGCCAAGGAGGCGTCGGAGCTGCAGAGTGACGTACGGTTTTAACACAGAGACTTTGACTAGGACAGCAGAGTTACGCTGATCAAACAGCAGAATAAATTAATAAAACAGCAGGAAATAATAAAGTTCAGAACAGAAACACAAATAAAACCCAAAACTGATTAAAAAACATTGTTTTAGGTAATAACTAACATGGCTGTTTTTACTTACATTTATTATATTTTAAATGAAAATAAATTTCATAATGACTAAATTTTCCATTTGGTGATCATGTTGATCAGTTGCTTGTTAATTTATCAACTGAGTTATTTTCTGATTTTTCTTCAAACAGTTTTTCCTTTTCAGCTTTTAATGTTAAAGAAAAGTAAAACAATGGAAAGCATCCATGTAAATTTTTTTTGTAACGTGTCGTCATTTCTTGCAGGTGAAATATAAAGAAGGAGTGAAGGAGATGCAGAGCAGTTTGTACCATCGGCTGCCTGAAACTACGGAAACCCAGATGGCCAAACATCTGTCAGAGCTGCAGAGCGACGTACGAACATGACGGCATTTCATTTCAGTCTGTAAAGTTATAAAATAATCAGATCATATCCTATAAATAACTTTTCCAGAACTTGGTAAATGAGCCTGGAAAGTGTTGAACAAAACAGACATTAAAATCTGGTTAATGGAGGATTTCTGGTTTAAACTTCCAGAATAAATACAAAGAAGCTGGAAGGAAGGAGATGAGGGCCAACATTTACTCTCAGCTTCCCTACACCATGGAGACGCAGAGAGCGAAGGAAGCAGCAGATCTGCTGAGTGAGGTGAGGATGAGGAGGATGAAGGTTATGATTCATTAATGAACTGACTATAAAAATATGTTCCTGAAATGATCTGATCCTGTTTAGATTAATAATTAATAGACATGAGATAAGAGCAAGAATTGATTGGTGGTGATAATTTATATAAAGGTTATTTTTAGATTTGACAGTGAATTAAAGCTGCTGTATTTCTCCTAGTTTACTTTATAATAACCTAAAATTACATGAACAGAGTTATGTCTGCCATGGATGTGTGGCAGGAGCCGATTCTGTCAAAAACCTTATAAAGAAAAGGATTATTAAGTTTCTAGTGTTTGATCTTAAAGTACGGAACAATATTTACTGCTGCATGTGAATTATGTTGAAAAGATGATGTCATTTTATGTGTTTAAATGAAAACAATATACGTTTGTGACAAAAGTGAAAGTAATGGTACCGAGTGGTGAACCTTGTGGAACACCAGCTGATAATGTGTTTAATGTTAGACATGCTGCAGTGTTTTAACAGATTCATATTATTTAACACGTTTATTTCTTTTAACAGATTAAATATAAAGAAAGTGGGAAGAAGGAAATGTGCGGCTCTTTGTACTCGACTCTCCCCGACACTCTGGAAACCAGCTTCGCCAGAGACATGACTGACCTACTGAGTGAGGTAAAATAAATTACATCCCAGAACGTGGGATTATGTTTTCCTCTGCTTCTCTGGATTATTTGTTGCTGCTGGATTTGCTTGTAGTTTGTAGATTCATTTTATTTACAGTAAAATAAATCAGATTTAATCAGATCAAAGACTCATCAGGTTTGTGTCGTTAGATTTATGAGTTTTGACTTTTATTTTCATTTTGTTTTCAGAACAAATACAAAGAGGACGGGAAGAGGAGTCAGTCTCAGAGTTTCTACTCTCAGCTTCCAGAAACAGCAGAGACTCAGTTTGCTAAAACCGTCTCTGAGCTGCAGAGCGAGGTAATCAGAGCTCCACCTTTAACGTTCATCACATCCAAATGGCTCAGATGAATAAGGAACAGAATGAAGGCAGAGATGACAGACGTGTTTCAGATGAACACGATGAATCTCATGGAGAACTGATTCTTTTTGTTCATAATCAGATGAAGTATAAAGAATCAGGGAAGAAAGAATCGGTGACCTCTCTGTACTCGACTCTACCGGAGACTCTGGAGACGCAGCACGCGAAGGAGGCGACGCAGCTGCAGAGCCAGGTAACCTGCTCCTCTGGCATAACGCATGAACCAGTCCAACACTGGGAACGCGACCTCTGACCTCCAGCAACTTATAGAACCACGTTTAGCAGGAAGTGCTGTACAAGCTGCTTCCTGTCTGACTGTTTCTGTCTCACATCATCATCTATTTTTATTTCCATTATTACTTCAGTTCATTTGTTTAATTTCCATTTATAGAAATTCTGTTCCCAACAGAATTATAAGGTCGAGGCCTGAACTTTGACTGGACCATTTGCAACATTTGTTTGCTGTTTGTGATCATTGATGACCCAGTTTGAGGGAATCTACAGACAGATGGCCTCACTGGAGAATTTACTGGACAAACGTCTGGTTTCACTGCAGCCTGTTGGTGTGTGTGTGTGTGTGTGTGTGTGTGTGTGTGTGTG